GAGTTTGGCTGGAAATTGGAGTTTGTAGACGGGGAGGAGTTCAGTGCGGTGAAAGGGAGGGAGTTGGGTGGGAGTTGGAGAAGAGGTTGGAGTTTGTAGATGGGTAGGAGTTCAGTGCGGTGAAAAGGAGGGAGTTTTGTTGGAAATGTTGGAGTTCGTAGACAGGGAGGAGTTCAGTGCGGTGAAAGGGTGGGATTTTGGTTGGAAATTGGAGTTTGTAGAGGGGGAGGAGTTCAGTGCGGTGAAAGGGAGGAAGTTGGGTGGTCAAAATTCGACGCCCAGGAAACACGACTCTCATTTGAGAGTCGCGTTTTCAGGAACCCTACCTAGCCTAGCCCAACTTTAGGATGTCCACTAGTAGGTGGTGGGTAGTATTACCCGCTTTTCAGGGTCACCGGGTCGGGTATACCCGGACCCGCCAGGCGGGTATTGTATTACCCGCCCCTTAAGGCCGGGTCCGGGTAAGGGTCCTGGGCATATTACCCGACCCGGACCCGACCCAAAATTACCCGACCCAAGGTCGGGTATTGCCAAACCGGGTCGGGTCGGGTAATTACCCGGTTTTGCTCAAGCCTAACCCGACCCGACCTGACCCGGCATCGGGTTTCCTTAAACCCGACCCTTCAAACCCCGGTCGGGTTAACTATCCCGGACCTAAAACCCGACTTGACCCGACCCGACCCGACTCGCACCCGACTTCGGGTGGGGCAAAGTCGGGTCAGGTCGGGTCGGGTCTATGCTCAAGCCTGCTGCCAGGTGAGATGATGACCCGCCAGGTGAGATGCTAAGTGGGAAAATTCGCGCTCCGCGTAAATTCGCCCATACGCCAGGGCCCCATTTTAAATTCACTGGGAAATTCGTTCGGCCCGGGCAGAAGAAATTGCCCAGGAAGGCAAAAAAATTGGTTCGCGGGTAGGGTGGGCGTGGGGGGGTGCCAGGGCAACACTTTTTAAGCAAGGACGTTTTAGCAAGGATTAAATATTGCTTTTCAAAAATCGGCCTGATACATCGCCTGCCACGTCCTCACTAGTGCTGTGATATGGGAGGTTCGACATTGCAACTCGCATTCTCGTGAGGTAAGCTAGAGTCTGTGCTTAAACTTGATCGACTAGCTAAGACGCGGAGGGATAAGGTTGGCGCTACCTCTGGTAGAGTAGCGTGAGCTGCGTGATAGGGTTGCGTAAGTTGTGTGGTAGATGGGTTTGGTTTTCTAGATGCGGTGGGGTTTGATGCGGTTGGGAACTTGGGAGGGGTTGGAAGCATGTTTTGGGGGTCAAAAGTTGGAATCGCAAATTCGCGAGGCAATGGTAGGCATGAGCAATGAGGCGAGGATTTCCTCGCCTCCAAATTTCGGGGGTCGAGGCAGGATTTCAGGGGAAAATCCTCACGAGGAATCCTCGACCCGGCCCGGCTAGGGCACGAGGATAAGATCCTCGGGTCAAGGAATCCTCGCCTCGCCCCGTGCTCATGCCTAGGCCACGTGCTCATGCCTAGGCCACGGATGGCTTCGCCGTGTCGTTGGGAATCACGGTAAAAGAATTCGTGTTTTTTTGTCCGGGCTGCCCCGTAAATTTTCCCCCAGCGTTCCACGAATTTCAGGTCAATTCGCAAACGCGAATTTACGCTTACGAATTTACGCAAAACGCTGGGGGACCCCAGCGAATTTTCTCACTTAGGTGAGATGATGACCTGCCAGGTGAGATGACCCGCCAGGTGAGATGATGACCCGCCAGGTGAGATGACCCGCCAGTAGACATGGGCATGAGCCGAGCCTGGCTCGGCTCGGCTCGTCCAGGGGTCGAGCCGAGCCGGCTCGCCGTCGAGCCTGGCTCGGCTCGAGTCGAGCCGGGCACCAAACATGCCTGGCTCGGCTCACATTTCTGTGGGCGAGCCAAGGCTGGCTCGACGGCGAGCTGGCTCGGCTCGGCTCGCCTAGCATGCACTTAAGCCAACAGTAGTGTGGGTGGAGCCTATGCAAGCGCGCGTTGTTAAGAGTGGCGCGGGCTGCTTAAGATTTCTCACGCGTACTAACCTAATGAGATACTCCTAGGCGCGCAGAATTCTAGGGATCGCGGAATTGACGGGAAGTGGATTGTGAGGAGGAAGGAGGGTGTAAAAGGTTAGGTTGGAAGTTGTAGATGCAAAAGTGTGCAGTGCGGTTGAGCGGGTAAAAGGGTTGGATGTGTTTTTGGTCATCAAAGTTTGGGGTTGCAACTGGTTGAATTCGCGAGGTCGCAATGTCGCGGGAAAGAATTTCGCGTCAAACATTTTGGGCTGGCGTTTAGCGTTTACCCTTAAACGCAGCGCTTAAACGATAAACGCTGCACCGCCAGAGGGATTGCGGAACATAGAGTAGGATTTGTTGGTGGGAGAGAGAAATGGGAGACACGTTTTGTCGAGGGGAAAATTTTACCCTTGAAATCGAGTGGCGAGCCACCTGGCTCGAAATCGAGCCGGGGACGAGCCGGCTCGACCCCGGCTCGACGAGGACATTGTGTACGAGCCGAATCGAGCCGGCTGGCTCGACCGAGTCGAGCCGGCTCGGCTCGAGTCGAGCCGGATCCCAAAAAGAATGGCGAGCCGAGCCGAGCCGAGGCGGATGTGGCTCGGCTTGTGCCCATGTCTACCCGCCAGGTGAGATGATGACCCGCCAGGTGAGATGACCCGCCAGGTGAGACGATGACCCGCCAGATGAGATGATGTCCCGCCAGGTGAGATGACCCTCCAGGTGAGATGATGACCCGCCAGGTGAGATGATGACCCGCCAGGTGAGATGGCCTGCCAGTTGAGATGATGACCCGCCAGGTGAGATGACGCGCCAGGTGAGAAGGTTCAAAAATACGGTTTCCGAAAAATACAGTCCGTTTTATACTAGACATGGGCACAAGCCGAGCCACACCTGGCTCGGCTCGGCTCGGCTCGCCTTTAAGGCGAGCCGAGCCTTCTTTTTTGGTACCCGGCTCGACTCGAGCCGGCGGCTCGGCTCGGCTCGCGCACGTGAAATCAAGCGAGCCGGAGTCGAGCCGGCTCGAGCTGGCTCGATTTCGAGCCAGCCGGCTCGCGGCTAGGGAAAGGGGGGTTTCGCGACTGTCAAATTTCAGATCGACAACCCCCCCCAGCCAATATTGTCTGCCAACCCTAACCTCAAGCTGTCGCGCTAGTCTATCGACCTCAGCCAGCCATATTTAAACCGGCAGCTCCTCCTGATAGTTTTGTAAGATGTAGGAGCAGACGATCAGCTAAATAATATGGATTGTCCCCTATACTAGAGACCCCAAACCCCGTGGCCCCAATTGAGAGCCCGCACAAGCCCCCCTGACGAGCCGAGCCGGGGATCCTAAGGACCCGGCTCGAGGCGAGCCGAGCCGGCTCGACCGGCGAGCCGGCTCGGCTCGACCCCAAACGAGCCGAGCCGAGCCAGGCTCGGCTCATGCCCATGTCTATTTTATACGGTCAGTTTTTTTCAGTAATTTTGGAAAAAAAAACGCGGTTTTTTTAATATAACATCGTTTTTTTGTTTGTTTTAGAAAGCCTAAACGCTTGCCGGATCCGCGCATTTTGCACCCCGAAATGCGAGATCCCAGCATCTCGGCGGGCAAAACGCCAGATCCGCGGATTTCGGCGGGCGAAATGCCAGATATCCTAGCATTTCGTTCGCCAAAACGCGAGTTCCCGCACATTTTGGGGGTCAAAATGCCAGATCCGCGCATTTCGGCAGGCGAAATGGCAAATCCGGACGTTTTGCAGGTTTTTTTTTTTTTTTTTTTTTTTTTTTTTTTTGTGTGTGGAAAAATGCGGCCGTTTTTTTTGCACCTTGTGAGATGACCCGCCAGGTGAGATGACGCGCCAGGTGAGATGACGCGCCAGGTGAGATGATGACCCGCCAGGTGAGATGACCCGCCAGCCAGGTGAGATGACCCGCCAGGCGAGATGACCCGCCAGGCGAGATGACTCGCCGGGTGAGATGATGACCCACCAGGTGAGATGACCCGCCAGGTGAGATGACCCGCCATGGCCCGCCAGGTGAGATGACCCGCTAGGTGAGATGATGACCGGCCACCAGGTGAGATGACCCGCCAGGTGAGATGATTCGCCAGGCGAGATGACCCGCCAGGTGAGATGACCCGCCAGGTGAGATGACCCGCCAGTAAGCCTGCAAACAAATATCACTGGTTTCGGATTCGTATTCGGTATTCGACAAATATAAAATACAGAACGAATCTGACATCCTGAAGCTATTCGACACTCAAATATTCGCAAGTTCCGAATATTCGACACTCAAATATTCGATATTCTGGAAAATATTCGTATTCGTGTGAGTCTACCATACATCTCCCCGACTCCCCTTTCCTCTCAAAATCGGCAGCGCAGTATAAGCGAAATCGGTGAAATCTGCAGGTTACGCTATTGGCTGATTGCGGCCTCCATAAAACCAATCAATCGTGGACAAAAACGAAAACAGGATTCTTGAGCATGACATGTTGTTCCATAAATAACCTGCCAGAATCACTTGGACAATATGCCAGGAGTGGAAGTGATTGGGGAGGGGGGTAATAGACTATCAAGGTTAGAGGGGCTATTTCTATCTTGGTCTTCGGTGGGAAGCCCTAGAAGACACTCGAAACCCTGTTCTGACCGCCTATTCATATTCGATTCCGTATTCGTCGTCAAACACAATATTCAAACTGTATTTGTATTCGAATAGGAAGTGGTATTCGATCAAGTACGAAAACACACAAGTATTCGACAAATACTTTTTTTTTCCTGCCGTATTCGATACTGTATTCGTTTTTGCAGGCTTACCCGCCAGGTGAGATGACGTGGCAGCTAATGCAGGATTGTGTGTGGGATCGCAAGGAAAACTTGATCGGTTATGGGCTGCATATTGCATGCTTCCATGCTTGCTTGCTTGCATGCGTATACCATCTAGTTCCATCACCTTACCTCATCTTTGTAGCTTCTTTCTTACCATTGCCCACGCCCCTGTGCCGTCCATCCAGCCGTGACACCTGTCAGCATCTGGTTGGCTCGTGCCCTCCACTGGCCCGTAGCTGTGTGTCCGCGCCTCTACTCCCTCGCTGCTGCCACGCCACCCCTCACCCTCAACGCCTCTGGTGCGTGCTCTTGCGTGCACTGCCAGCACCTCATGCGCGCGCTGCCAGCAGCTCATGCACTGGCAGCAGCTCACGCACTGGCAGCAGCTCATGCACTGGCAGCAGCTCATGCACTGGCAGCAGCTCATGCCCTGGCAGCAGCTCATGCACTGGCAGCCGCTCATGCACTGGCAGCAGCTCATGCACTGGCAGCAGCTCATGCACTGGCAGCAGCTCATGCACTGGCAGCAGCTCATGCACTGGCAGCAGCTCATGCACTGGCAGCAGCTCATGCACTGGCAGCAGCTCACGCACTGGCAGCTCATGCACTGGCAGCAGCTCATGCACTGGCAGCAGCTCATGCACTGGCAGCAGCTCATGCCTTGCGAATCTGTTTGAAGCATGGCTCTCAGCCTCTCACACATGACTCACACCACTTAGGGTGATGCCCTGTGTGTGGGGGGAGTGATGCCCCGTGTGTGGGGGGAGTGATGCCCCGTGTGTGGGGGGAGTGATGCCCCGTGTGTGGGGGGAGTGATGCCCCATGTGTGGGGGGAGTGATGCCCCGTGTGTGGGAGGAGTGATGCCCCGTGTGTGGGGGGAGTGATGCCCCGTGTGTGGGGGGAGTGATGCCCTGTGTGTGGGGGGAGTGATGCCCCGTGTGTGGGGGGAGTGATGCCCCATGTGTGGGGGGAGTGATGCCCTGTGTGTGGGGGCATCACTCTTTCATTCTTCCTCTCACAATGCTCTCGTTTCTTTTCATGTATATGTGTACCTGCGTTAGTGTTTGTGTGTGTGTGTGGACGTGTGTGTGCTTGTGAATGTGTGCTTGTGCACATGTGTTTATGTTGTGTGTATGTGTGGGCGTGTGTGTGTGTGCGCGTGTGTGTGCGTGTGTGCGTGTGTGTGTGCATGTGTGTGTGTATGTGTGTGTGTATGTGTGCGAATGTGTGTGTATGTATGTGTGTGTGTGTGTGTGTGTGTGTCTGTGTGTGCGTGCATGCGTGTGTGTGTGCGTGGGCGCGTGCATTCGTGTGTGTGTGCATGCGTGCGTGTGTGTATGTGCGCGTGCGTGCGTTAGTGTGTGTGTGTGTGTGTGTGTGTGTGTGTGTGTGTGTGTCTGTGAATGTGTGCTTGTGCACGTGTGTGTGTGCACACTCGTGTGTGTGCGTGTGTGTCTGTATGTATGTGTGTATGTGTGTGTGTATGTGTGTGTGTATGTATGTGTGTGTGTATGTGTGTGAGCATTTGTTTGTATGTGTGTGTTTGTCTGTGTGCGTGCGTGTGTGCGTGCGTGCATGCGTGTGCGTGTGTGTGTGCGTGTGTGTGGGTGTATGCATGCGTGTGCGTGTGTGCATGCGTGCATGTGTGTGCGTGCGTGTGTGTGTGCGTGTGTGTGTGTGTGCACATGCGTGCGTGTGCGTGTGTGCGTGTGTGCATGCGTGTGTGTGTGGGTGTGCATGCGTGTGTGTGTGCGTGCGTGCATGCGTGTGTGTGCGTATGTGTGTGCGTGCGTGCGTGTGTGTGTCTGGGTGTGTGGATGCATGCATGTGTGCATACGTGCGTGCGTGTGCATGCGTGCATGCGTGTGTGTGTGTGCATGCGTGCGTGTGTGTGTGTGTGCGTGTGTGCATGTGTGTGTGTGTGTGTGCGTGTGTGCATGCGTGCGTGTGTGTGCGTGTGTGTGTGTGCATGCGCGTGTGTGTGTGTGCATGCGTGCGTGTGTGCGTGTGTGTGTGTGCGTGTGCGTATGTGCATGCGTGCGTGTGTGTGCGTGTGTGTGTGTGCATGCGTCCGTGTGCGTGTGTGTGTGTGCATGCGTGCGTGTCTCACATCTCCCGCCAGGCCTGGCAGCAGCGAGGGAAGCGCACCGGGAGGTGGAGGAGCGGGTGAGGAACGCGAGGAGCCGCGCCAAGGTGCTGCGAGACAAGCTGAAGCGCGACTATGGTGAGACAAGCTCAAGCGCGACTATGGTGAGTCAAGCTCAAGCGAGACTATGGTGAGACAAGCTCCAGCGTGACTATGGTGAGCGGCACCATGGGTGGGCTGTGAAGGGTGTGGGTGTGGTGGAGGGCGTGATTAAGGGTGTAGAGGAGTACGAGTACATATAGGAATGCTAGAGGCGAATAATTGTCGAATGTTTGCCAAATTGGTGTTTGTTAAAAAAATTCTAGGCCTTTTCCAAATACGAAATTCCATGCAAAGGTGGCAAATACGGTTTAAATACAAAGGTTCTCAAACGTTTTATTTCAATTGTAGGCTTACATAAAATATTGTTCATTTTTTAGTGTGGTGAGGTGTGTGACGTGTTGAGGGGTGTGACGTGTTGAGGGGTGTGACGTGTTGAGGGGTGTTAGTGTGGTGAGGGGTGTGTGACGTCATGTGTTACCCATAAGCAGACCAGCGCCCTCGCTTGCCACGGAAACATGCACGCGACCTGCATGGGTCCCACATGTGACATGCACGCGACCTGCATGGGTCCCTCTCACATGTAACATGAGTGGCAGAGAGGCATGAGTGCCTCATCTGGTTGCCTCTGATGCGCTTGTCTCATGTGCCAGCTGATGCGCTTGTCTCATGTGCCAGGATCTAGGGTTGCCTTTCTTTGTGCTACTCTAGCCTCAGAAGCAACCAGAGAATGTTTCAAGAAGTGAATGAAGGAGGAGGTGACTCTTCTCAATGCTAGCATTGTTGCAATGGCATCGTTGCATCCCTTCCTCATCTTCCCATGCCCGTCGACCCCCGTTGCCCCCTCAGGCCCTCACGGGGAGTTCTCCAACCTCGTGGACCGCTGCTTCTCCTTCCCCGCCAACCAGTGAGAGCCCATGCTGCATTTCTCCCTCCTGCTCTCCAGATCGCTTCTCTTCCCTTCCTTGCCACGTGCACTACCTTGCTCCTTTCCCCTGCCCTTCTGCACCCATCTTGCCCTTCTGCATCCATCTTGCCCTTCTGCATCCATCTTGCCCTTCTGCATCCATCTTGCCCTTCTGCTTCCATCTTGCCCTTCTGCATCCATCTTGCCCTTCTGCTTCCATCTTGCCCTTCTGCATCCATCTTGCCCTTGTGCATCCATCTTGCCCTTGGGCATCCATCTTGCCCTTGTGCATTCATCTTGCTCTTCTGCATCCATCCTGCCCTTCTGCATCCATCCTGCCCTTCTGCATCCATCCTGCCCTTCTGCATCCATCTTGACCTTGGGCATCCATCTTGCCCTTGTGCATCCATCTTGCCCTTGGGCATCCATCTTGCCCTTGTGCATCCATCTTGCTCTTCTGCATCCATCCTGCCCTTCTGCATCCATCCTGCCCTTTTGCATCCATCCTGCCCTTCTGCATCCATCCTGCCCTTCTGCATCCATCCTGCCCTTCTGCATCCATCTTGCCCTTGGGCATCCACCTTGCCCTTGTGCATCCTGTTGTAAAATATATATCTATACAACATGCATGCCTAGATTAGGAGGTGTAGTCATTATAATTATTGGGGGGTTGTTGGTTGGGTTGACCAACCCCACATTTGGGTTGGTCAAGATTGGATTTGGTCCTAGACATTTGGTTGGCACTATTCCAACCAAATGGTCCTTGGTCCTAGGAACCAACCAATCACCAAGCACCACACTTTGTGGTTGCTTGCCTTCCAAGCAATCTCTCTCATTGGTCCACATTATGGCCAGTCGGAGAGCACAACACTTTGTGGTTGCTTGCCCTACAAGCAACCTCTCCCATTGGTCCACTTTATGGCCAATAGGAGAGCTTCCCTTCCAAACTCTTCCTTGCTCCTTGTTTTGTACAAAAGAGCCTCTTGGCTCCCTACTCAATTCAATATTTTCTCTTCCAAGCTAGTTGCTTCACATCCATCTTGCTCTTGTGCATCCATCTTGCCCTTGTGCATCCATCTTGCCCTTCTGCATCCATCCTGCCCTTCTGCATCCATCTTGCCCTTGTGCATCCATCCTGCCCTTGTGCATCCATCCTGCCCTTGTGCATCCATCCTGCCCTTGTGCATCCATCCTGCCCTTGTGCATCCATCCTTTGGCCCTCTTGTGCATCCATCTTGCTCTTGTGCATCCATCTTGCCCTTCTGCATCCATCCTGCCCTTCTGCATCCATCTTGCCCTTCTGCATCCATCTTGCCCTTGGGCATCCATCTTGCCCTTGTGCATCTTTCTTGCCCTTGTGCATCCATCTTGTGCGCCGCCCTTCTTCTCCCTGTCATGCCTTCCCTCCGTCAGCCTTGCTCCACCAAAAATTCCTCGTCCCTCGCTATGCACTTGCTGTGCGCAATGAGAAGCAGATGATACATGCTCTCCCCTCTCGTCCCTGGGGGGCACTCGCCAGGTACACGTACGAGATCTGCCCGTACAAGAAGGTGGTGCAGAAGGAAGGGCACTCTGAAACCACCATTGGGTGAGTGCTTGTGGTGACATGGTGATGGCATGGTGGCACCAGACCTGTGGGCGGGATGGGACGAAAGTATGAAGAAGATGGGCAAGTGCACGATGGGACAGAGGGCTCGTACACAGTTGGACAGCTTCAACTGCCATGGTGCTAGCATAGAGCTCCACGTAGCTAGTGGAGAGAGCAGTCGCGCAGGAGGTTGTGGCGTGCAGTGCAGCTGATAATTCGACACACAAGCGCGTGAGGATGCTGGTGGGGTGCGCTAGGTCAGGGCGTCCACAAGTCAGGCTTAGGGCGTGGAACATCCAAATCGTGAATCCGAACGGCGTTCGGATTTTAGTGTGGTTATCAGTTTCGTTGACCTCGTTTTGCAACTCGCGAGCCCCCTCGCGAATCCCTTGTGAATGTGGGCCGTTTTGGTACATCCTGCCCGAACGGCACCATTCGAACGGCCTTGCCGCCACTGTTCGAATTGGGTTGGAAAAAAACGCAAGTCGCGCGTGCGACAGAACCCAGGCGACGTGAAAATTACGGATGTGATTGAGTCGCAGCAAGTCGCGGGCGTCGTCGCACACCATTCGAACATTCGGGTTTCGAATTCTGGAGTTGATACATGATGCTCCAAATCAATGAAAGCGGACATGGCTGGCTGTTCTCGGCGTTGTGCGAATATCGGAGTGGCTTGTACGAACACGCCAGATTCGTGACGGTGTTCGGAAAACACAACCTCAAGGGCAGTGCACCGCGCCCTTACATGATGGAGCCGAGGAGTTCATCACTGGATCTCGAAACCCCAAAATTCATGCCAGCTGGTAAGGCGTGGGATTACTGAAGGATGCGGGGACAGCGGTGTTGTGCGATGAACATACACGAGGAAGGCCCTGCCCTGAGGAAGGCAGCGCTTGATGCGCTGATTGCATGCCATCAGGATTGCATGCCATCAGGATTGCATGCCATAAGGATTGCATGCCATCAGGATTGCATGCCATCAGGATTGCATGCCATAAGGATTGCATGCCATAAGGATTGCATGCCATCAGGATTGCATGCCATCAGGATTGCATGCCATCAGGATTGCATGCCATAAGGATTGCATGCCATCAGGATTGCATGCCATCAGGATTGCATGCCATCAGGATTGCATGCCGTCAGGATTGCATGCCGTCAGGATTGCACGCCATCAGGATTGCATGCCATCAGGATTGCATGCCATCAGGATTGTATGCCATCAGGATTCCATGCCATCAGGATTGCATGCCATCAGGATGGCATGCCATCAGGACTGCATGCCATCAGGATTGCATGCCATCAGGGTTGCATGCCATCAGGATTGCACGCCATCAGGATTGCATGCCGTCAGGATTGCATGCCATCAGGATTGCATGCCCCAGGATTGTATGCCATCAGGATTGCATGCCATCAGGATTGCATGCCATCAGGATGGCATGCCATCAGCACTGCATGCCATCAGGATTGCATGCTATCAGGATTGCATGCCATCAGGATTGCATGCCATCAGGATTGCATGCCATCAGGATTGCACGCCATCAGGATTGCATGCCGTCAGGATTGCACGCCATCAGGATTGCATGCCATCAGGATTGCATGCCATCAGGATTGTATGCCATCAAGATTGCATGCCATCAGGATTGCATGCCATCAGGATGGCATGCCATCAGGATTGCATGCCATCAGGATGGCATGCCATCAGGATTGCATGCCATCAGGATTGTATGCCATCAGGATTGCATGCCATCAGGATTGCATGCCATCAGGATGGCATGCCATCAGGATTGCATGCCATCAGGATTGCATGCCATCAGGATTGCATGCCATCAGGATTGCATGCCATCAGGATTGCATGCCATCAGGATTGCACGCCGTCAGGATTGCATGCCGTCAGGATTGCATGCCGTCAGGATGGCATGCCATAAGGATGGCATGCCATCAGGACTGCATGCCATCAGGATTGCATGCTATCAGGATTGCATGCCATCAGGATTGCATGCCATCAGGATTGCATGCCATCAGGATTGCACGCCGTCAGGATTGCATGCCGTCAGGATTGCACGCCATCAGGATTGCATGCCATCAGGATTGCATGCCATCAGGATTGCATGCCATCAGGTAGACATGAGCAATGAGGCGAGGATTTCCTCGCCTCGGAAATCCTCGCCTCGAAATTCCGGGGGTCGAGGCAGGTTTTCTGGGAAAAATCCTCGCGAGGATTCCTCGCCCCGCCTCGGCGAGGATTCGAGGCCTCGATTTTTCCTCGAGGCAAATGGGCGAGGATGTTCCCATTACCCCCCTCCCCCTAACCCCCCAGCCGCCCAGGTCAAGGAATCCTCGCCCCGGGTCAAGGAATTAATCCTCGAGGCGAGGATTTCAATCCTCGACCCCAAAACCCGGGGGTCGAGGGGGGATTTTCATGAAAAATCCTCGGCGAGGATTCCTCGACCCGCCCCGGCTAGGGCGCGAGGATGAGATCCTCGGGTCAAGGAATCCTCGCCTCGCCCCGTGCTCATGTCTACCATCAGGATTGCATGCCATCAGGATTGCATGCCATCAGGATGGCATGCCATCAGGATTGCATGCCATCAGGATTGTATGCCATCAGGATTGCATGCCATCAGGATTGCATGCCATCAGGACTGCATGCCATCAGGATTGCATGCCATCAGGATTGCATGCCATCAGGATTGCATGCCATCAGGATTGCATGCCATCAGGATTGCACGCCATCAGGATTGCATGCCGTCAGGATTGCATGCCGTCAGGATTGCACGCCATCAGGATTGCATGCCATCAGGATTGCATGCCATCAGGATTGCATGCCATCAGGATTGCATGCCATCAGGATTGCATGCCATCAGGATTGCATGCCATCAGGGTTGCATGCCATCAGGATTGCACGCCATCAGGATTGCATGCCGTCAGGATTGCATGCCATCAGGATTGCATGCCATCAGGATTGCATGCCATCAGGATTGTATGCCATCAGGATTGCATGCCATCAGGATTGCATGCCATCAGGACTGCATGCCATCAGGATTGCATGCCATCAGGATTGCATGCCATCAGGATTGCATGCCATCAGGATTGCATGCCATCAGGATTGCACGCCGTCAGGATTGCATGCCGTCAGGATTGCACGCCATCAGGATTGCATGCCATCAGGATTGCATGCCATCAGGATTGCATGCCATCAGGATTGCATGCCATCAGGATTGCATGCCATCAGGATTGCATGCCATCAGGGTTGCATGCCATCAGGATTGCACGCCATCAGGATTGCACGCCGTCAGGATTGCATGCCCTCAGGATTGCATGCCATCAGGATTGTATGCCATCAGGATTGCATGCCATCAGGATTGCATGCCATCAGGATTGCATGCCATCAGGTCTGCATGCCATCAGGATTGCATGCCATCAGGATTGCATGCCATCAGGATTGCATGCCCTCAGGATTGCATGCCATCAGGATTGCATGCCATCAGGATTGCATGCCATCAGGATTGCATGCCATCAGGATTGCATGCCGTCAGGATTGCATGCCATCAGGATTGCATGCCATCAGGATTGTATGCCATCAGGATTGCATGCCATCAGTAGACATGAGCACGGGGCGAGGCGAGGATTCCTTGACCCGAGGATCTCATCCTCGCGCCCTAGCCGGGGCGGGTCGAGGAATCCTCGCCGAGGATTTTTCTTGAAAATCCCCCCTCGACCCCCGGGTTTTGGGGGTCGAGGATTGAATTCCTCGCCTCGAGGATTAATTCCTTGACCCGGGGCGAGGATTCCTTGACTTGGGCGGCTGGGGGGTTATGGGGGGGAGGGGTAATGGGAACATGTGCAGGGAAGAATGAGCCATATCCTGGTTTCATGGAAAGCTCTCTTCCACTCCTCACCGACGTGTTAAAAGGCAACATTTCCCTGCCATGCTATGGGTTAGGGCTCTTTAGTTACCCACCTGCTGAGTGTAATTGATTACACTCAATCCATAGCACTGCCGTTTATGTGCTTCGCCTAGGTGGAATGAAATCGCAGCCCTCCCTCTATTACATGTACAATGCCGATGGCCAATAAGCTTATTGCTTTGTCCACCCGCACACACCAAAAGTAGCCAACTTGTCTAAACATGGTGACACGTCCCGCACATCTCATGCCACTGCCAGGTTCAGCGCTGCCCGTGACAAAGCCACAACCAACCACAACTGCCCACCCTTGCCTCACCGTGCCATCATGGCTGGATGGATGGCCATACAGCTTTTTGCTAGGTCCATCACCACCACGTACCACCTTAAGCATGCAAATAAATAGAGCAAGTCACACGGGCAATAGATGTCAAAGCACAACGAGCTGTCCCCGTTCACATTCCCTCCTCGAGCTCCAATCCCAACTCCGTCAGCGCTTGCGCTGCCAAACCACCCAGCCTTTCCCCCGGGTGCGTCGCGATCCATGACTTGAGGGTCATGCATGCGCGCACCCGCTCTGCGCCAAGGCGATGCCGCTGCCATGTGATGAGGTTGCGGCCCTGCGAGAACATCCGCTCGCTAGCCGCAGAGGTGGCGGGGATGGCTAGGTAGTCCCTGGCCATCGCCTGCAAGGCTGGCAGATCGACCCTGCGTCGCCAGTACGCAAGCGGCGAAGCACGCATGGGGAGGATCGGCTCATCGAGGTACACCTGAATCTCATCCTTCTGCTCCTGGGACTGCTTGCTGCGGTAGGCAGCCAGGTGCCTCACCAGGCTATCCTCGTCGTCATCCCCCCCAAAGGCAGCCCCCATGGCAGCATCCCCCTCGTCCCCTCCCCCACCACCGTCAGCCCCATCCTCTCCCCCCAGCCCCGCCGCCACCGCCTCCGCCGCTCGCACCTTGTCCATGTACGGCTGCCACTTTCTGCGCACGAGAGTGACGACTGCCTCGAGGGCGACCTGCTCTACCACCCTCGTCGACATCTCGCCGCGTGGCTTGGCGAAGTACCCGAGCTTCATTGTCGGGTCGAGGAAAGTGGCCACGCATAGCTCGTCGCTGCTGGAGGAGTAGTACTCCTCCAGCTTGGGGAGTGCCACCTCGCAGCACGCACGGATGAACGCAGAGGGGGGGGGATCCACACAGTGCAGCACACGCTCGAGCTTGTCCATCAGCTCGTTGTACTGCGGCACAACCCGGCTAACAGTGGGATAGTGCCCCCCCTCCGCCGCCAGCGTCACCAAGTTGAAAGGCTTGAGGAAAACTGCAATTTCCTCAAGCACGGCCCACTGCTCGGGTGAGATGCGAAGCTGGGTTTGGCGAGCCTCCTGATGTTGGAGTTGGGAGTAGGAGGTTTTAGGGTTGAAAACATGAGAGCGTGGATGGGTGGGTGGCTGAAGTTGGTGTTGGGAAGCATGGGGGGGGGGATGTACAATGGTGAGTGGCGGGATGTGTCAAGTGGGGTGGGGACGAGGGCAATAACACTGTCACACACAGATGGGATTCAACAAGACCAAAGGACTCACCGGGAAGCGACGCGCAAAGGAGTCAAGAGCATCGCGCAGTCGGATCCCACGCACGACCATCTGGTAGGTCGATCCCCAGCGCACCTCCATATCCTGCTTCAATTTCACGACCGGCTTGTCAGGGAAAAGGCGCCGCTGTTCGTCCTCGAACAGCGGGGTCTGCTTGGTGGAATAGCCGATGAAGCTGGCGTTCTCACGCAGCAGCCCCAGCGGCAGCTTCAGAGCCTCCACCTTCTTCAACGCTTGCTGTAAAGAAATGTTGCAGATGTGGGCGAGGCAACTGGTGGAGGGACAGGGGGGATGTGCGGAGGGCATGCTTGGGTTAGCAGTGGCATATGGCACGGCGGCATGGCATGTCGCATGCTGCATGCATGTGGCATGGCACGGCATGTGGCATGGGATGGCATGCGGCATGTGACAGGTCATGGCATGCGGCATGTGGCATGGCATGTGGCATGGCATGGCATGCGGCACATGGCATGTGGCATGGCATGACATGCGGCATGTGGCAGGGCACGGCATGCCATGGCGTGGTAGGTGGCTTGTGGCATTGCATGGGATGGGATAGCTTGCACTGCACATGCAGGCTCTATGCATTCGGTTGCTTGTGAGCAAGGCTGGGCCTCCACTCCAGCGACAAAAGCAGTTAACACTCACCGGATGTGGAGCCCGGTCTGGAAGAGCGGCGGGACCCTGTCGCCGATCTTGCCGCGGGACAGCCACCTCATGGCCGCGGTGTTGGTGGCGGCGTTATCGGTAGTCACAGCCATGCAACGCCCGGTCAGCCCCCAATCCCGCACCACCGCCTCCAGCACCTGAGCCACTACAGACGCCGTGTGGCTTGGCGGTAGTGCTATGAACTCCAGCAGTCCCTGGCGGAGCTCGAACTCTGCCGTCAGCCAGTGGGCTGTAACCGCCATGTAACCACGGTTGTTCTCACCCGTCCAGATGTCTGTGGTCAAGCTGACCTTGCCCACGCCTCTGGACGGTGAGAGCTCGTCCTTGAGAACCGCGCGCGCCAGATCCCCTAGACGGATGCAATCACGGCCCACAGTGTGCCGCCCAGGAATGACACCAGGGGCGCCACACTGTGGGTTAGCCGCTGTCATCATGCGACGAAACTGTCGGGCGGGGTGATTGAGGGAGCGGCACATCATGGCATCGGAGTTGGCAGGCATTGGAATTCACAGCATGACATGACGGACGGCGACCATGCAACTGAGAAACGACATGTGCGGCATGAATTGGAAGATTGTAAAAAAACCCGCAACGGAAAGAGGCAAGGCAAGGGTCTTACAGATGGGCGATCAGTGGTGCTGAAGGCAGAATCAGAGTCGACAATGTACTCTACTATCGTCTGGCGTAGGTACTCCTCGTCCAATCGATGAGACAGGAACCTCTTAATACTCTGCTGCCCTCCTTGTCCACCCCCCTCCTGTGGGGGGTCCCCCGGCCACCAAGCCGCGTCAGGCCACACGTTTTTCCCATCCGGCACTTCGCCCTCCTCCCCAAATCCACCCTCGGGGAACACCTCGTCCCCACCTATCTCCCGGGCATCCCATTTGCGCGCCCAAATATCCCAGTGGGCGCGATGTTTGTTCTTCATGTGATCCCTTCCCGAGGTGGTGGAGCTGTGGGCCTAGCAGATGGCCATACTGCACTTCCTGCAACGCCGTTTGTTCCCAAGCCCGGACTGACGCTCAAAGCATCTCGCCGCCATGCCGTCTCCTTTCACAGGCTTCCCTGCCTTCTTGTTCCCAGTTCCCCCCTCTCCCCCCTCCTCCACTGCCCCACTGCCGTCAGTCCCCCCGCCTCCCCCGCTGCCAGCCCTCCCCCTTCCCCCGCCAGTCCGCCCCCCTCCCCCTTCTCTAGTCCTCCCTCCTCCCCCGCCTGTGTTCCCCTTTCCTCCGCCACTCCTCCCCCCTCCTGCCCCCCTCGGGGCCTGTACTTCCCGGCTTTTCCCAGCTGAGCCTTGTACCTTCTTTCCCCTACCGCTGCCCTCACCCTTTTCCTTTTTAATGGCCTTCAGCACAGCCTTGCTGACCGACCCCCCAGCTTCTCCATGGCCTATGCCCCCCCCCCAACGGCACCAACCACCGAGTCCGCACCCTCCGCCACAAGGTCCGCCATGTCCTCGTCATGCTCGGCGGGTTCCCCCTCCCCTCCATCGTACATCTGTTCTTCGGAGTTGTCGCCGGAGCTCTCCTCGTGCTCCTCCACCCCCTCCTCCTCCCCCCACTCGTCCTCATCCTCCTCCCCCACCCCCTCACCCTCCCCCTCCTCCTCCTCCCCCACTCCTTCCTCGCGCAAGCCCTCGGCCCTCCACCTCCCCATACCCTCCTCACGCTCGAGCTCCTCGCCTTCTCCCCCCTCGTGCTCCTTCTTCTCCTCCTCTTCCTCTTTGCCCTCCTCCTCCGCCTCCGCCACCTCCTCCTCCTCCTCCTCCTCCTCCTCCTCCTCCTCCTCCTCCTCCTCCTCCTCCTCCTCCTCCTCCTCCTCCTCCTCCTCCTCCTCATCCTCTTCCTCTCCCTCGCCCGCATGCTGGCCGCCTCCCCCCCTTGCTCTCCCCTTATGGTCACCGCGCCCATCACCGCGCCCTGCACCGTTGCCCTTCCCCCCAGCGTTCTCGCGCGCGGCCTCACCCACCTTCTTCGCCTCGGCCGCGGCTGCGATGGCCTTAAAGTGCCTCGCCTCGGTCGCCGTCATTGCGCGAGTTTCCTCCTCGCCATCTTGTCCTCTTCCCCTGCCGCCTCTCCCTTGGCCACCGCGGGCACCATTACCGCGGCCCCTTCTCCCACCACCTCCACCACGTGGAGTGCGGCCCATGCTATCAGCGGGCTCGGCACTCTAAGAACCGCTACTGTTCTTAGTTTAGGACGTCTATCCCTAATGGCAGCCCCACCGCCGCCAATGCTAGTCGTCCGTCCTAAAAACGCCGTGCAATCGACAATGCGTTTTACTCTCCCCCCCCTCCTACAGCGGGGGTCCTTTTACCCCACCCGTTGGTATTTGTTTAAGCTGTTTAGAACGGTGGCATTGGGCGAAATGGGACCAGCGAGGCTATAGGTAAGCCTAATACGAAATAACAGAACTTGGCTGATCCAGAAATAATGAATCAGCTTACTTTCAAAATTTGAGTTTGTACCAGCGCGCCTCCAGGCGCGCTGGCACCCAAATGACGCGAGGAAAAAATCCTCGCGAGGAAAAAAATTCCTCGCGAGGATTTTTTCCTCGCGAGGATACAAAATCCTCGCCCATTTGCCTCGAGGAAATGTCGAGGCCTCGAATCCTCGCCGAGGCGGGGCGAGGAATCCTCGCGAGGATTATTTCCTGAAATCCGGCCTCGACCCCCGGAATTTCGAGGCGAGGATTTTCGAGGCGAGGAAATCCTCGCCTCATTGCTCATGTCTAGCCATCAGGATTGCATGCCATCAGGATGGCATGCTATCCGGATTGCATGCCATCAGGATTGCATGCCATCAGGATTGCGTGCCATCAGGATTGCATGCCATCAGGATGGCATGCTATCAGGATGGCATGCCATCAGGACTGCATGCCATCAGGATTGCATGCTATCAGGATTGCATGCCATCAGGTTTGCAGGCCATCAGGATTGCACGCCGTCAGGATTGCACGCCGTCAGGATTGCATGCCGTCAGGATTGCATGCCCTCAGGATTGCATGCCATCAGGATTGCATGCCATCAGGACTGCATGCCATCAGGATGGCATGCCATCAGGACTGCATGCCATCAGGATTGCATGCCATCAGGATTGCATGCCATTAGGATTGCATGCCATCAGGATTGCATGCCATCAGGATTGCATGCCATCAGGATTGCATGCCATCAGGATTGCATGCCATCAGGATGGCATGCCATCAGGACTGCATGCCATCAGGATTGCATGCTACAGGATTGCATGCCATCAGGATTGCATGCCATCAGGATTGCATGCCATCAGGATTGCATGCCATCAGGATGGCATGCCATCAGGACTGCATGCCATCAGGATTGCATGCTATCAGGATTGCATGCCATCAGGATTGCATGCCATCAGGATTGCACGCCATCAGGATTGCACGCCGTCAGGATTGCACGCTGTCAGGATTGCATGCCGTCAGGATTGCATGCCATCAGGATTGCATGCCATCAGGATTGCATGCCATCAGGATTGCATGCCATCAGGACTGCATGCCATCAGGATTGCATGCCATCAGGACTGCCTGCCATCAGGATTGCATGCCATCAGGATTGCATGCCATCAGGATTGCATGCCATCAGGATTGTATGCCATCAGGACTGCATGCCATCAGGACTGTATGCCATCAGGATTGCGTGCCATCAGGATTGCATGCCATCAGGATTGCATGCCATCAGGATTGCATGCCATCACGCAGGATGGCATGCCATCAGGACTGCATGCCATCAGGATTGCATGCCATCAGGATGGCATGCCATCAGGACTGCATGCCATCAGGATTGCATGCCATCAGGATGGCATGCCATCAGGACTGCATGCCATCAGGATTGCATGCCATCAGGATTGCATGCCATCCAGGATTGCATGCCATCAGGATTGCTGCCATCAGGTTGCACGCCATCAGGATTGCATGCCGTCAGGATTGGCACGCCATCAGGATTGCATGCCTCAGGATTGCATGCCATCAGGATTGGCATGCCATCAGGATTCCATGCCATCAGGATTGCATGCCATCAGGATGGCATGCCATCAGGACTGCATGCCATCAGGATTGCATGCCATCAGGGTTGCATGCCATCAGGATTGCACGCCATCAGGATTGCATGCCGTCAGGATTGCATGCCATCAGGATTGCATGCCCCAGGATTGTATGCCATCAGGATTGCATGCCATCAGGATTGCATGCCATCAGGATGGCATGCCATCAGGACTGCATGCCATCAGGATTGCATGCTATCAGGATTGCATGCCATCAGGATTGCATGCCATCAGGATTGCATGCCATCAGGATTGCACGCCATCAGGATTGCATGCCGTCAGGATTGCACGCCATCAGGATTGCATGCCATCAGGATTGCATGCCATCAGGATTGTATGCCATCAAGATTGCATGCCATCAGGATTGCATGCCATCAGGATGGCATGCCATCAGGATTGCATGCCATCAGGATGGCATGCCATCAGGATTGCATGCCATCAGGATTGTATGCCATCAGGATTGCATGCCATCAGGGTTGCATGCCATCAGGATTGCATGCCATCAGGATTGCATGCCATCAGGATTGCATGCCATCAGGATTGCATGCCATCAGGATTGGCACCGCCGGTCTGGATTGCATGCCGTCAGGATTGCATGCCATCAGGATGGCATGCCATCAGGACTGCATGCCATCAGGATTGCATGCTATCAGGATTGCATGCCATCAGGATTGCCTGCCATCAGGATTGCATGCCATCAGGATTGCACGCCGTCAGGATTGCATGCCGTCAGGATTGCACGCCATCAGGATTGCATGCCATCAGGATTGCATGCCATCAGGATTGCATGCCATCAGGATTGCATGCCATCAGGATTGCATGCCATCAGGATGGCATGCCATCAGGATTGCATGCCATCAGGATTGCATGCCATCAGGATTGCATGCCATCAGGATTGCATGCCATCAGGATTGCATGCCGTCAGGATTGCATGCCATCAGGATTGCATGCCATCAGGATTGCATGCCATCAGGACTGCATGCCGTCAGGATTGCATGCTATCAGGATTGCATGCCATCAGGATGGCATGCCATCAGGACTGCATGCCATCAGGATTGCATGCCATCAGGATTGCATGCCATCAGGATTGCATGCCATCAGGATTGCATGCCATCAGGATTGCATGCCATCAGGATTGCATGCCATCAGGATTGCACGCCATCAGGATGCATGCCATCAGGATTGCATGCCATCAGGATTGCATGCCATCAGGATTGCATGCCATCAGGATTGCATGCCATCAGGATTGGCATGCCATCAGGATTGCATGCCATCAGGATTGCATGCCATCAGGATTGGCATGCCATCAGGACTGCATGCCATCAGGATTGCATGCCATCAGGATTGCATGCCATCAGGATTGCATGCCATCAGGATTGCATGCCATCAGGATGCATGCCATCAGGATTGCATGCCATCAGGATTGCATGCATCAGGATTGCATGCCATCAGGATTGCATGCCATCAGGATTGCATGCCATCAGGATTGCATGCCATCAGGATTGCATGCCATCAGGATTGCACGCCATCAGGATTGCATGCCATCAGGATTGCATGCCATCAGGATTGTATGCCATCAGGATTGCATGCCATCAGGATTGCATGCCATCAGGATTGCATGCCATCAGGATTGCATGCCATCAGGATTGCATGCCATCAGGATTGCATGCCATCAGGATTGCATGCCATCAGGATTGCATGCCATCAGGATTGCATGCCATCAGGATTGCATGCCATCAGGATTGCATGCCATCAGGATTGCATGCCATCAGGATTGCATGCCATCAGGATTGCACGCCATCAGGATTGCATGCCGTCAGGATTGCATGCCATCAGGATGGCATCAGCCATCAGGATGGCATGCCATCAGGATTGCATGCCATCAGATCATGAGATGCATCAGGATGGCATGCCATCAGGATTGCATGCCATCAGGATTGCATGCCATCAGGATTGCATGCCATCAGGATTGCATGCCGTCAGGATTGCATGCCATCAGGATTGCATGCCATCAGGATGCATGCCATCAGGATTGCATGCCATCAGGATTGCATGCCATCAGGATTGCATGCCATCAGGATTGCATGCCATCAGGATTGCATGCCATCAGGATGGCATGCCATCAGGATTGCATGCCATCAGGATTGCATGCTATCAGGATTGCATGCCATCAGGATTGCATGCCATCAGGATTGCATGCCATCAGGATTGCACGCTATCAGGATTGCATGCCGTCAGGATTGCATGCCGTCAGGATTGCATGCCATCAGGATTGCATGCCATCAGGATTGCATGCATCAGGATTGCATGCCATCAGGATTGCATGCCATCAGGATTGCATGCCATCAGGATGCATGCCATCAGGATGCATGCCATCAGGATTGCATGCCATCAGGATTGCATGCCATCAGGATTGCATGCCATCAGGATTGCATGCCATCAGGTTGCATGCCATCAGGATTGCACCATCAGGATTGCATGCCATCAGGATTGCATGCCATCAGGATTGCATGCCATCAGGATTGCATGCCATCAGGATTGTATGCCATCAGGATTGCATGCCATCAGGATTGCATGCCATCAGGATGCATGCCATCAGGATTGCATGCCCATCAGGATTGCATGCCATCAGGATTGCATGCCATCAGGATTGCATGCCATCAGGATTGCATGCCATCAGATTGCATGCCATCAGGATTGCATGCCGTCAGGATTGGCATGCCATCAGGATGGATTGCATAGTCAGGATTGCATGCCACCAGGATTGCATGCCATCAGGATTGGCATGCCATCAGGACTGCATGCCATCAGGATTGCATGCCATCAGGATGCATGCCATCAGGATTGCATGCCATCAGGATTGCATGCCATCAGGATTGCATGCCATCAGGATTGCATGCCATCAGGATTGCATGCCATCAGGATTGCACGCATCAGGATGCATGCCATCGGATTGCATGCCATCAGGATG